AAAGTTCCTTTCTATTCCTACTTAATGAGAATTTCTGTCATGAGTGAATGTTAAATTTTGCTGTTTTTTCTGCATCAATTGATAGGATCATGTGATTTTGCTTCTTTAGTCTGTTGGTGGATTATACTGAATTATTATTTATTTATTTATTTATTTTTTGAGTAGGAGACTCACTCTGTCACCCGGGCTAGAGTGTACTGGTATGCTCATGTCTGCTTCAATCTTGACCTGCTGGGCTCAGGAGACCCTTCCACCTCAGCCTCCCAAGTAGCTGAAACTATAGTCGCCCACCACTACACCCAGCTAATTTTTCTTGATTTATTGTAGAGACAAGGTCTCGTCAAGTTTTCCAGGCTGGTCTCAACTCCCTGGGCTAAGGCAATCCTTTCTCCTCCACTTCCTATAGTGCTGGGATTATAGGCATGAGCCACTGTGCCCAGCCTGAATGAGTTTTCAAATACTGAAACTCTTGCATCCCTGGAATATATTCCACTTGGTCATGATGTGTATAATTCTTCCTTTATCTGTATTCTATGTCTAGCATTTTGTTTAGAATTTTTGAGTGCATAATCATAAAGGATATTGGATTACAGTTTCTTTTTTTGTATTATCTTTGCCTGGTTTTGGTATTAGGGTAATACTGGCTTTATAAAATGAACTGAAGCTGGGAGCGGTGGCTCAAGACTGTAATCCCAGTACTTTGGGAGGTGGAGGAGAGAGGATTGCCTGAGCTCAAGGGTTTGAGACCAGCCTGAGCGACTTGGCAAGACCTCATCTCTACAATAAATCAAAAAATTAGCTGGGTATGGTGGCGCATGTCTGTGGTTCCAGCTACTTGGAAGGCTGAAGCAGAAGGATCACCTGAGCCCAGCGGGTCAAGGCTGTGGTGGCTGTGAGTGTGCCACTGCACTCTAGCCTGGGCAACGAGTGAGACTCTGACTCAAAAAATAAATAAATAAATAAAGTAAGTGGAAAAGTGTTCCTTCCATTCTTATTTTCTAGAAGGGTCTATGTAGATTGGTTTTAGTTCTTCTTTAAGTGTTGGGTAGAATTCTATTGTAAAACCATCTGGCGCTATGCATTATTTTTTCTTCTTTTTTTGAGTTGGAATCTCACTCTGTTGCCCAGGTCAGAGTGCAGTGGCATGTTCACAGCCACTGCAGCCTCGACATGCTGGCCTCAGGCGATCCTTCCTCCTCAGCCTTCCAAGTAGCTGGAACTACAGTCACAGCCCACCATGCCTGGCTAATTTTTTAAAATTTATTGTAGAGATGAGGTCTAGCCAGGTGCCCAGACTGGTCTCGAACCTGCAGGCTCAGGCAATCCTCTCACATCAGCCTCCCAAAGTGCTGGGCTTATAGGCGTGAGCCACCACACCCAGCCTGGTGCTATGCATTTTTATATTCATAATTTGACTTGTTTCTCATAATAGTCTTGCAGAGAAGGCATTTTGCAGAAACAATGCTCGGGTTCCTTGGACAGGACTGGATGCAGGGTGGGCAGCGGAGGCATACTGGGCCTGGTGTAGAGCTGGGCTTCAAGGGAAGTAGTTAGGTAAGTGGAGAGTAGGAAGAAGGCACTTTCAGAGGACAGGGAGAGAAAGAAGGCAGGGCTTATTGCAGCAGAAGGTCTGTGACTGCCGAGGGCCAGAGGTAAATGATCCTGAGGAAGACTAGGATGTGAAGGACCAAGAGAAGGGACGGGGCTATGGAATTTCTTCAAATATCAGAAAACTTTTGTTCCAAAGCCTTTAACTTGGCCTCAAAATAAGACTTGAAAACAAGTGAAGTAATACTACTCTTTTTTTTTTTTTTTTTTTTGGAGTCAGAGTCTCACTATCACCCAGACTGGGGTGCAGTGGTACACTCACGGCCACCTCAGCGCCAAACTGCTGGGCTCTGGTGATCCTTTCACCTCAGCCTTCTAAGTAACCGGAACTACAGGTGCATGCCACCACACCTGGCTAATTTTTTTATTGTAGAGACGAGGTCTCACCACGTTGCCTGGGCTGGTCTCAAACCCAAGGGCTAAGGCAATCCACTTGCCTAGGCCTCCCAAAGTGCTGGGATTACAGGCTGAGCCACTGAACCCAGCCTTCTGTTTGATTCTTTAATGATGGATATATTTGTCAAAACCTATGAGACGCCACAGTACAAACAGTGAATCTTTTTTTTTTTTGAGTTGGAGTCTCACTTTGTTGCCCAGGCTGGAGTGCAGTGGCATGCTCACAGCCACTGCAACCTCGACCTGCTGGGCTCAGGCAATCCTTCCACCTCAGTCTTCCAAGTAGCTGGAACTACAGATGCTTGCCACCACACCTGGCTAATTTTCGTGATTTATTGTAGAGACAAGTTCTCACCAAGTTGCCCAGGCTGGTCTCAAATCCCCAGGCTTTGGCAATCCTCTCACCTTGGCCTCCCAAAGTGCTGGAAGTAAAAGCTGATCCACCGAGCCCTGTCAAGGTCTTTCTAAAATGGTTCTGTCTACCCTTCAGGCCTTGCAGTCCATTTTATAGTCCAGAGTTGTTGGTACCTACACATTAGCCATGTGACCAACAAAGCATTGCATAGAGCTTAAGTTACAGTGCATTTTCCATTGAGATAGTGACATTTAGAGTAAAGGAAGTTTACAAGGTCTAAGACATCATGCATTGCAAAAGTTATACATATCACAATACTTTCAATTATATTGATGCAGAAGTTCTACAAATCACAAGACTTACGATTACATTGATACTATGTTGTTCAAACCTATGACTATTAAGAAATGGAAGCCGGGCTCGGTGCCTCAGCCTGTAATCCCGCGCCTCAGCCTGTAATCCCGCACCTTTGGGAGGCTGAGGTGAGTGGATTGCCTGAGCCCGCGGGTTCGAGACCCACCTGGGCAACTTGGTGAGACCTCATCTCTACAATAAAATCAAAAATTAGCTGGGCGTGGTAGCGCGCGCCTTAGTTCCAGCTACTTGGAAGGCTGAGGCGTAAGGATCGCCGGATCCCAGCAGGTCGAGGCTGCGGTGGCCGCTCCCGGCAGCGGGACAGAATGAGACTCCAGTCTAGGCGACAGAATGAGACTCCAACTCAAAAAAAAAAAAAAAAAAAAAGAAATGGAGTAAACCAGGTGCAGTGGCTCATGCCTGTAATCCCAGCACTTTGGGAGGTGGAGGTGAGAGGATTGCCTGAGTACAGAGATTCGAGACCAGCCTGAGCAACATGGCGAGACCTCATCTCTACAATAAATCATAAAATTAGGCGGACGTGTTGGTGCATGCCTATGGTTCCAGCTACTTGGAAGACTGAGACAGAAGGATCACTTGAGCCCAGCAGGTTGAGGCTGCGGTGACCAGGAGCATGCCACTGTACTCCAGCCTGGGCGACAGAGTGAAACTGACTCAAAAAAAAAAGGAGTAAATAGGGATTTACATCTTTGGGTATTGTCTGCCGGGAAGTCAAGGATCCCCTGAAGCTACTTACCGGGAGTGCATAGAAGACAAGGGGATTCTCAGTAATGTGCAGTAATGTTACACTTGACGAATCACTCTCAGGAACGTGCAGGAGCTCTTGAACCTTTGCCATGCCTTTCTTTAGGGTCTGTGGCAATATGATGGACGTTAGCGAGTCTCTATATCACATCTAGAAATTCCCTCACTACAAAATCCATGCCAGATTTCCTCAGTGGTACAAGCTCAGGACCTGTTGGGATTTGTACAATGAAATCCCCTGGAAGTAAGATAGAACCAGACTCTTCAGCCCCTTCCTAGTTTGCTGAACATCATCACAAAAATGAAATTGGGCTTGTCTGATAAATCTAGAAAAGCAGTATCATATTCCATCCAAAGAAATAAAGGTGAGCCAGGCATTGTGGCTCACACCTGTAAAACGCAGTGCTTTGGGAGGTCAAGGCAAGAGGATCACTTGAGGCCAGGAGTTCGAGACCAGTTGGACAACATATCAAAACTCCATCTCTAAAAGAAAAATAATAGTGGGTTGGTGGCTACTTAAAAGGCTGAGATGTGAGAATTGCTTGTGCCCCGGGGGTTTGTGTCTGCAGTGTGCTATGATTGTGCCACTGCACTCTAGCCTGAGTGACAGAGGGAGATGGGTTTCTTTAAAAAAAAAAAAAAGGCCAGGCACGGTGGCTCAAGTCTATAATCCCAGCACTCTGGGAGGCCAAGGCGAGAGGATCGCCTGAGCCCCCGGGGTTCCAGACCAGCCTGGGCAAGGTGGTGAGACCTCATCCCTACAATAAATAAAAAAACTAGCTGGGCATGGTGGTGCATGCCTGTAGTTCCAGCTACTTGGAAGGTTGAGACAGAAGGATCGCCTGAGCCCAGCAGGTCGACGCTGGGGTGGCTGTACGCATGCCACTTCACTCCAGCCTGGGCAACAGAGTAAGACTCCGACTCTAAAAAAAAAAAAAAGATAAAAGACTTTGGTCTGGCCAGACTTTTTTTCTCAACCCACTGTAAGATGGTGGTGTTCTGGGCTGATTGCTAATTCTCCATAATTATGTACAAGGCCCTTTAAATTTGTTTTGGTGGTTTTTCTCTTCTGAATAATAGGATCAGCACATCTTTCATATTATAAGAAGGCTTTTTTTAAAAGACTGCAACTCCAAGCTGAATTTCAACACAATACAATAGGGATAAATTTTAGTCTATAGTTCTACTGGCGCCTAATGAGGTGCTTGTTTGAAACCCCTATTTCAAACAAGCTAAGCTGGACTCCTCCTGTGGGAGGAGCAAAACTGGACTCCTCCCACAGAGGACCTGTGAAATAGGATTACTCCCCTTGAGCTCAAAATTCTTTTGCTTTGGGAGCTGAAGTCTGTCCATAACCTTTTGAACCACCAACGTTTGCTTTGAAAGTTGACACTTTCTATTTAAATGGCAAGAAAGATGGGAGACAAATCTCACCTTAACAGAGCTGAACATATTGATTGCAATGATCACCTCTGATCCACACCTTTCCTCTTATAATGTGTGACTTTCTTCTCTTAATTAGAAAGAGCCAGAGATTATCTGCACAAGACTGGAAGGTTTATTGTAATTGGCGGGATTGTGTCCCCTGTCCATGACTCCTACGGAAAACAGGTGGGTTCCTTCCTGTGCCCTTTCCCCCCTCTTCCCCCTTCCTGGCCTGACAGCTCCTCTGGCACAAAACTGTCCCACTGCTGGTTCTGCTGAGATTACCGGTACCTATAGGTTTCCGCGAAATGCCTGTGGGCAGGTGTCTGTCTTGCTTTCCACCTCAGGACCACAGTCAGATCTGAGTGGATGGGTGTGCAAGCAGCAGCTGGGAGGACCCACTGCCTGCGACCAGGCAGCTGCTCACACGCCAGCCCCATTAGGACTCATTAAAAGAGGAGCAGGCACACCTGCTGGGTGTGACTTAGTATGATGGATGCCAGGTTGGCAGCTGGTTATGGGTTGAGAAGCACGGGGCAAGTCTTTCCTGGTAGAAAACAACCTATGTGTTTTATAATCTGATTTAAAATTCATGGCTGGGCGTGGTGGCTCACGCCTGCAATCCCAGCACTTTGGGAGACTGAGGCTGGAGGTTTGCTTGGGCCCAGGAGCACAAGATCAGCCCTAGGCAACATAGCAAGACCTCATCTCTACAAAATATCTAAACATTAGTCGGGCGTGGTGGTCCATGCCTGTAGGCCCAGCTACTTGGAAGACTATGGCAAGAGGTTGGCCTGAGCCCAGGCTATAGAGGCTGCAATTTTCCATGATCGTGCCACTCTAGCCTCGGTGACAGAGCGAGACCTTGACTCAAAACAAACAAATAAAACAATTTTTAAAAATGAATTTCCCTGCCCTTCCCATCCCACCACATGTCCTGGCAAATCTAGGAGCTCTTCCAGACATTCCTCCTTTTTTCCACAAATGCAACTTGGTGAGCTCTGAGGAAGCCACTTAACCAGCCAGACCGAGCCATAAGGCAAGGCTACGTTTGCTGAGTGAAGTCTCGTGCAGGGCACGCAGGGGCTGCTTCAAAAACACAGGTTCATCTATCCCCCTTTGGGGTGGTATTGGCCACACACCCTTCCTTCTTTTTCTTTCCACTTCTCCCTCCAGGCCTGCCTGTGTGGCAGATTGATAGGTAAAGGGGTCACAACCCTTGTTCCCTCTCAGCACTGGAAAATGGCTGCCCTTTTATAAGTGGAAGACTCGGTACTCCGGGATGACATGGGGAATGGGGAGAGAATCACCCAGTGATCACTCTGTTGCTTTCCAGGGCCTCGTGTCCAGCCGGCACCGCCTCATCATGTGTCAGCTGGCTGTCCAGAATTCTGATTGGATCAGGTAGGGTAGGCCTGATGATGCCACAGGTGGTGGGTTTGGGGGGGGCGGGACTTCCTGGGGGCGGGGTGAGGAAACAAGAAGGGGCCTAGCAGGGTCTTGGATCTTGAAAGAGTGGAGAGGTGGGGGCTGGAGGGATATTAGCCCATGCTGGGAATAACTAGGTAGACCTCAGGGTTATAGCCCAGCTGGTAACTCTATTTTTGAACCCATATGGGGGTCCATGAAAATAAGAGGGAGCTTTAAGTGTTTCATTTGCACTGACCTCTGGATCCTGGAGTGATCCTTAGAACTTCTAGGAACATCGTTGGGTTTGGGGTGAGACGTGGCCAGAGAACCCCAAATACCTCCGGTTCTCATTCCTGCCAACTTCCATTAACCCTCACTCCCCTTCAGGAATGTTCCCTGGCCTTGGAGATTTCCTATTCTCAAACTTAGGGTCCCCAAGAGCCCCACACTGGCTCCCAGACAGCAGTGCAGGGACTGCAAGCCTGGCACCAGTCACACCCAGGGGGTGCCTTTCCTGCCCACTGCTGCTCCCCCACCCCCATCCGCTGAACTTGCAGTGTAATTAAAGCAAGCTTCCACTAATCATGCTAATTATGCTCCCCAAAGTTCCTGCTGTTATAATTTGCATGAGAAGCTGATGCTTAAAAAAAAAATAATGGCATACCATTTGTGCTGCAATTTCCCCACATGGAAAAGGAAGCTGCACCCAGAGGTTTCCGCGAAAGAGGGGAAGTGACGAGAAGCTGACCCCAGAATGAGGGGTGCAGAGTCAGCCTGGAAGAGACAGGCAGGTGGAGTGAAGGAAGCAACAATAATAATTAAGCAGTGACCCCTGCCTTTTGGACCCAGTGATTTGTGTGAGAAGCACAGGCCCTTTATAGACTTTCTCATCCCACCCCCCAGACCAGATTAGGCAGAGAGACAACTGCTTTCTCTCAGGTGACTGACAGGCCCTGAGGAGTCGAAGGGCTTGAGCAACAGTGCATTGGAGGCCAAGAAAGGATTAGAAGCAGGCCTCTTAAGGCTGCAACTCCCGATCTCCTAGGGATGGCGGTGGGTCCAGTGAATTCACTGGGCAGGAGGCTAATGCTGCTTGGATGTGCTTAGAAGGTTCTGGAATAACTCCCTCATTCATTCAGCAACTATTCACTGAGTGCTGACTGCTTGCCCCATGCTGTTCTAGGCACATGGAAGATCAGGACTCAGAACCACGAAGACTGGCTGTTTAGGGCCACGGGGAGGCTGCTTAGCCAGGTCAAGCATTTGTCCATCCCCGGGCACATTTGCGAACCTGGGGCAGGCGAGCCAGGGACTCGGGATCTGGGGGAACCAGGCTCAGAGCAAGCAGATTTCCTAAGAGTTTTCAACTGGTGAGAGCTCATCTCTGGAAAACTTAGGCATGTGTATGTGGGGGAAAGGTGGGCAGGAAATGCACAACAGCTAAGAAATGTCTGAGAAACAGCCCAGTTGAGCAGCTCATAAGTTGGCAATGAAGCCCAGTGCCACGTCAGACTGGGGCTGGATCCTGCCCTCTTCACAGCCTGGTGTGCAGGAGGGGCTGTCCAGTCTGGGCGTTTGGCTGCCATGCCTTTCCTCCATGCCCACATGGCACCCCACTGCACAGGGAGGCAGATGGTGCTGGCTGGGATAACCTCAGGGCCTGGCTTGTTTAATCTTTGGCACAGCCTTAGAAGGTCCACGGGAGAATTTACGTTTTTCAGGAAAAATAAGAGCAAGACAGCACACTGAGCACTGTACATATAAAACCTCCCGAACCTTTCTCACATAACCATAAGATAGTTACTGTTGTTATGCCCATTTTACAGATGGGGAGAGTGAGGCACTGAGAGAGCACATAGCTTTCCCAAAGCCACACTAAACCCGGCAGCCTGGCACCAGCCTGGCATCAGCCTCTGTTCTCCTAAGCCTAGGCCGTACTCCTTTCATTTTACCGAGGAGAAAATGGAGGCTCAGAAGAGTGTTTCACACCAGGTTTTATGCAGTTTGAGATTTAAGCACATTGTGTGATCAGGTCTGCCAAGCTCCCCGAGCTCTGACCTTTGGAAGCAAACAATAAGGAGAGTGTGAAAGTGGAAACCAAGGGCAACCTCTCTCTGATGTTGTTAGGGTGGACCCATGGGAGTGCTACCAGGACACTTGGCAGACGACCTGCAGTGTGTTGGAACACCACCGGGACCTCATGAAGGTGAGCTGGGCCGTGGCTGGGGACCGGGCAGACCACCAGGGTACAGGGGAGGCGCCAGGCCTCCAGATGCCAGCCAGGGTGGGGAAAGGGTGCTGCCAGCCTACTGACCCGGTATCAGCTTCCTGTTTCTCTGCCAGTCGTGGGTGAGACCAGCTTGCGAGGCACGAAGGAGGATGGTGAGTTAAGAACCCAGAGCAGCACCAGGGCCTGCTCGCTGTCTTCTGCCCTCTCGCGTGCCCTCCCCTTTGTGCATTGCTGCTGGCTGGGCATGACTTGGGCAGTTTTCCTCGGCTGGGAGCAAGTTGATGGTGGGATTAAAGAGACCACAGTTGCGAGGCTTCAGAGAGTGAGGAGAGGAGGAGACTGGGCGAGAAAAGGTCGGAGAAGAGGGAAACGCTTGGAGGAGGTACAAGCAACCAGGGACCCTGCCTTGCCTACCTGGACCCACTGGCCCTTGAACCCATGAGAGGCTGCTGTGGCTGAGGGACCCCACACCTGCCAGGCACTGCAGTCTCATTCCCACTCATTCTCCTTCACAAGAGCCCCCCGGCAGACACTGTCGGATTCCAGTCTAACCAGTGGGTAAAAGGACACACAGAGAGGAGCTCACGTATCTGAGGATACACGGTGAGTGCTAAGTGAACACAAATGGGCAAGAACTCCTGGATTCCCCCTGGGACCTGTGGCTGGGCTGCGGACACTACAGGGCGGGTTGCTGTAGAGCGGGCTTCACGCTGGTCAACAGCACTGGAGCGTGCAGAAAGCACCCTTCCCAGATCAATACCAACCCATCGACTCCACAGTGACAGGATGAAAAGCAGCACATGGATGGCAAGAACCTGACTGACTGTGACAGCAATGAGTCCTGTTGCTTCCACTGGCGGCGGCAGTCTTCCCCAGCCCCAAGTAGCAATCCACGTGCCGTGGTTCTGATGCAGAGAAACCCCTATCCCATCTGTGTCTTGCTATCAGAGGGACTATCACAATCTCCTTGGGGCGTAGCCCCTGACCACACCACGCTTTTCCAACCACACAGCTGTACTTCATTTGAACAGATGAGGGGCTTCTGGGCTCCAGACCATCCCCGAGAGTCTAAGACAAGAGAAGTAGGAAGGACCAGCCTGCTGGTATTCAGCTACGTTTTTTCCCCTATGGAATTGAAGAAAGCTAATCTCGCTTCCCTTCACTTTCACAACCACATCCTGCCTCTTCTGGTATCCTTGAAAGGACATCTACGTGGAGTCACGCTGACTTGCTCCTCTGTGCTGGTCTCCATGACAGCAGTAATAAAAAAAATAAAACATCGTCTTACTGTGTAAGGATGTGTCAGTGAGGATAGGCTGAGATATGCTGTGGTAACTAACATCCCTAAAATCTCAGTCACTTCAAACAAGTTTATTTCTCATACTATATGTTTGCTGGGGGGTCACCTAGGGGCCTCTGTTTCTATTTACACAGAAGGCCCACAGATGGAAGGCTGGATGGGGACCCTGTAGCCATTCCTGAATGCTGCCCATACTGGCCATAAGGCCTGGTTCTTATTTGTTGTCTAAATGCCTGGATTTCCTGAACTCTCCCTGTTACTCATGCCCAGGGCATGACTCTGGGCCAGAGAAGCTCAGCCAGGAGTCCCAGCTGTTGCAGTGATGGGCAGAGGCTGGCAGGGAATATAGGTCACGGACAGCCCCCTGACTTGGAGCAAGAGCTCGGAGCTACTTCCTAATCACTTCTAGCCTTCCCAGTCCTAGTGTGAGGCCAGTGTTCCTGGCATAGAGTAGACCTGCCAGAGAGATAGGCGCGTGACTTAATCAGTGAGTCAGGGCAATGTTTGGAAAGCCTCTGAGAACACAGGAGCCCGTGGGAGCTGACGAGGACAGGCACGGGGCAGGCAGCCAGCCATTTTCTACTTCTCTGGAATAGAACAAGTCGAATGAGACCAATAATGCAGCAAAAGGAAGAAATTCCTCAGCTACCAGACCAGTCATTAAATGGGAATGTGGTGTTGTCTTTTCTGGCAGTGGAATAATAATAACAGGAGGCAGACTGCCCCTTCCACCTCACCAGCCACAGCTGGGCAGAGATCCCATGGGACCCGTGGGACCCGCCCCGGCTGGCTCCTGGATGTGGCTGGATGCTGCTGTGACCTCCTCCTACCAGGAGCATTACAAAGGTGCCAGGTTTCCTCACAAGATCAACAACTGCCCTTCAAAGGCTCAGAAGAACTTCATGTGCTATTCTGCCCACAGGTCACCTGTGGAAGAGGCACCCAGAGGGGCCGCCTCAGCTTTGGGTACAGGACTCTAATCCATAACGGGAGGTGGGTGGGAGTGGATGGTGGGAATCGTCATTCCCAGGATGCCAGTTTCCGGGAAAGAAACCTTGAATAAGCAGTGGCCCTTGCGAAGCTAAACAGATTGGAAATCCATCCTCTGTTTCTCCGTTACCAGAGAGCTTCTCTCTCCCTCACCTCGGGCAAGTGGGGTTGCTTCTGTGTCAGCTGTGAAGAAGGAAGCTTTATCAGCTTTGTGTTTTCTGTGGCCCTGGAAGGAAGCAGCCAGGCAGATAACCTGGACATTGGATAATGCACATAGAATTTCCGTTTGGTTCTGATGTGTGCATTCACACGGAGCAGGCGAGAGAGGGCTCGGAGCCCCCGGCCCCCTGCAGCACAAACACGTCCTGCGCGGCCTGGCCCCTGCGCTCTTGCTTGGCGGTTACTGACAGCTCTGGCCAGCAGAGGCCGCAGGTGGTGATCGGGCCTTGTGTCTGCATGACCTTTCCCAGGCTTGCAGAGCCCTTTTGCAGACATGATCTCATTTGAGCCCCATGAACCAGGCAGGGAGGGCAGATATTCCTGTTACACAGAAGGCTGCCACGTCGGCTACCGTCAACAAAGTTCCTGCCGTGTGTCAGGCACCCCGTAGGCGCCTGGCATATGTTTGCTTGTATCATCCTTCCACAATTGAAAGGGCAGTAATCGTTAGATTCTTGAGTTGAGGTTTGGGAGAGGCAAAGTCACTGACGAAGGTCACATGTCTAGAAGGAGGCAGAGCCCGAATTTGGACCCAGGACCCCCTGCCACACCACATCCCACGCTTTCCCCACTAAGCTACCCTGTCTCCTGCCAGCCTAGTGTCATCCCCAGGGCTCTCCCTCAGCTCCGGTGACCTCACCATGATGCACAAGAGATGACTGTTTGGACATAACCAGGAAACACTTTTCAAAGTCGCTTAGCTGATAACACTGACTTAGTGCTTCTCCCTCTCCCTAGAGGGTGACGGGCTGCATCCTCTCCAATGTCAACACGCCTTCCATGACGCCTGTGATCGGACAGCCACAGCACGAGACCCCCCAGCCCATTTACCAGAACGGCAACGTGCCCACCAAACCCACTGCAGGTAAGGGAGCCCTGATGCAGGTCTCAGACTCCAGAATAACCTGGAGCTTATGAAAATATGGATTGAGTGTGATTCAGAGGCTCTGAGGAGAGGAGGAGATCTTCTGCTGTTGTTTTGTTTGTTTGTTTGTTTTGAATTGGAGTCTCACTTGGTTGCCCAGGCTGGAGTGCAGAGGCACTATCACAGCTCACTTCCTAGGCTCAGGCAATCCTTCCGCCTCAGCCTTCCAAGTATCTGGGACTATAGGCCCACACCACCTCACTTGGCTAATTTTTTAATTTTTTTGTAGAGACGAGGTCTCGCTATGTTGCCCAGGCTGGTCTTGAACTCCCAGGCTCAAGCAGTCCTCCTACCTCAGCCTCCCAAAGTGCTGGAATTACAGATGTGAGCCACGGCACCCAGCTAGGAATTGTATTTTTTTTTTTTTTTTTTTTTTAGTTGGAGTCTCACTCTGCCGCCCAGACTGGAGTGCAGTGGCCGCTCCCGGTCACCGCAGCCTTGTCTGCTGGGCTCTGGCGATCCTTCCGCCTCAGCCTTCCAAGTAGCTGGAACTACAGGCGCGCGCTACCACGCCCGGCTAATTTTTTTGATTTATTGTAGAGATGAGGTCTCGCCAAGTTGCCCAGGCGGGTCTTGAACCTGTGGGCTCAGGCAATTCACTCACCTCGGCCTCCCAAAGCGCGGGATTACAGGCTGAGGAATTGTATTTTTAATATGATGGTACTGATGCTGCTAGTCTAGGGACCATACTTTGAGAATCCTTCATACAGAGAAAACTAGTCACAATCACAATGAGAGAGAAGGGCGGGAGGAGAGGGAGAGAGAAAGAGACCAGGATGGTGATACGCATTCTTCTGCATGTGGATATAAATATAATTGCCTCTACTGGGAATTGAATCTACAAAGTGGAGCATTTTTCCCTGCCTCTTCCCAGGAGGCTGAGGATCTTGCCCAAGGTCACACACTGAGGAAGCAGCAGGGCCCTGAGTCATAGTCAGCCAGTGTCCAGAGTTCCCACACTGTTAGTCACCTCCTTAGGGATAGAGAACAGGAGCCACCAACACTTACCCAACACCTAGGACTGTGCGCCTGAACGGTGCTCAGTGCTTCACCTGTGTTCTTATTTAATGCAGCAGTTCTGCCATACAGACATTATGTTCCCATTTACTAATTGAAAACAGATTCAGAGACAATAAGTGATGTGTCCAAGGTCACACAACTCAAAAGTGGAAGAGCTAGAACTCATATTCGGTACTGTCAGTCTCTAGGGTCCATGCTCTAACGTTTTTTTCCAGGCCAATTCCAAGAGACTGATTCTGGTATTACTTTTCAAGCAAGGAGACTACAGGCTATTATATGGTTATCTATTACAAATAGGGCAATTCACGAAGAAGAGTCTGAATTTCACAGTTTGCATATGGCTACACATGGTGGGCTCCGAAAACTTTTCTGGATTGGAGCCCAGGGATATCATTGAAAACCAGATCCTCTCAGCAAATAGGATGTCTGATTATTCTAAAGACCATCTGCATGGGGAGGAATGCCTTAGCCCAGCAGAAATGGTTCCAAGTGTGTATTTTGCCATCAAGTGACTCTCTTTGGATGTGGGTGGAACTCTTCGGTGGGAGGAGCCGCTAAGGATCAACTTAGGACAATTCCAAGAAGAAATGCTCATGATACAAAAGATGAAAAAAGCCAACAGCCCTTATGCCCTTTAACTGTACAATCTAGCTGGGCATGGTGGTTTGCCCTGTAATCCCAGCACTTTGGGAGGCTTTGAATTTGCTTGAGGCCAGGAATTTGACACCACCCTGGACAACATAGCAAGACCCTGTCTCTATGATAATAATAATATATATTGGCCAGGCACGGTGGCACATGCCTATAATCTTAGTACTTTGGGAGGCTGAGGTGAGAGGATTGCCTGAACCCATGGGTTCGAGACCAGCTGTGCAACTTGGAGAGACCTCATTTCTACAATAAATTTTTAAAAAAATTAGTCAGGCATGGTGGCGTGCACCTGTAGTTCCAGCTACTTGGAAGGCTGAGGCGGAAGGATCATCTAAGCTCAGCAGGTCAAGGCTGTGGTGGTCATGAACAAGCCACTGCACTCCAGCCTGGGCAACAGAGTAAGACACCAACTCAAAAATATATATATAATTATATATTATTTTATATTATATATTTTTATTATACATAATAAAATAATAATAATATTAGCAGGGCGTGGTGGCACATGCCTGTAAATTCCAGCCACTTTGGGAGGCTGAGGCAGGAGTATCAACTGAGCCCAGGAGGTTGAGACTGCAGTGAGCCATGACTGCACCACTGCATTCCAGCCCAGGAGACAGAAGGAGACTTTGTCTCAAAAAAAACAAAGTAAAATCTAGCTGGTCTCGGTGGCTCAGTCTGTAATCCCGCGCTTTGGAAGACTGAGGTGAGTGGATTGCCGCAGGTTCGAGACCCGCCCGGGCAACTTGGTGAGACCTCATCTCTACAATAAATCAAAAATTAGCCGGGCGTGGCAGTGCACGCCTGTAGTTCCAGCTACTTGGAAGGCTGAGGCGGAAGGATCGCCGGATTCCAGCAGGTCGAGGCTGCGGTGGTCGGGAGCGGCCACTGCACTCCAGTCTGGGCGTCAGAGTGAGACTCCAGCTCAAAAAAAAAAGTAAAATCTGATTCAACCATATAGACATACCTGCATAATTCACATTCAAAAAAGAAATAAAATAATATACCAATAAGTTAGCACTGGTTATCTTTAGGAGTGAGTGGTTATCTTTAGGGGTGCTTTTATTTTCTTCTTTATATATTTCTCTCTTCTATATTTTCTAATTTTTCAACAATGTCATAAACATGGACAGAAAGAGGACTCCAGCCCATGGCCCAGATGCTTGTGCCTTGGACTGTGAGTGAAAAGAAGGAATTTTTGCTGTCATATTTCTGTTCTTTCTCTCCACCCCCCTTCTGCCCCCGCTCCCCACCCCTGCCTCCTGCACGCTCCCTGTTGTTCACAGGGGCCCCAGTGCTGGGCCGACACCAGTGTCAGTTGTGAGTGGTTCTCTCCCTCTGCCCCTGTCTGTCTTACTCTCTCTCCCATAGCCAAGATCTTGGGCAAGGTGGGAGAAAGCCTCAGCCGGATCTGCTGCGTGCGCCCGCCTGTGGAGCGCTTCACCTTCGTAGGTAAGGGACAAGAACCTTCTTTCCCTCCTGCCTTCATTAGCCCAGCAAATACCCCCAAACACATGTCTGTGATGTGAACATTTGCATCCCCTAGGTTCTCACATTGAAATCCTAACCCCCAAGGTGATAGTGTTGGGGGAGCAACCTTTAGGAGGTGATCAGGTCACGAGGTTGGAGCCCTTATGAATGGGATTAGTGACCTTACAAAAGAGGCCCCAGACAGGTTGCTAGTCCCTTCCACCATGTGACGATGCAGCGAGAATGAATCGAGAATCCACCATGTGACGATGCAGCGAGAATGAATGCACCAGTGATGAACCAGGAGCCCTCACCAGACACTGAATCTGCCAGGACTTTGATCTTGGACTTCCAGCTTCCAGAACTGTGTGGACTGAATTTCTATTATTTATAAGTCACCAGTCTATGGTATTTTGTTATAGCAGTCCTACCAGACAAAGACGGCCTATGATGGAGTGGATCATTTATAGAGCAGTGATTGAAAGAGGCCAGAGGCAAACTGAATGTCACCAAATCTGCAGCACCAACTTGGGCGGGAGCCCAGAGGGCATGGTCAGCCTGGCCTGGGGCTGCCTGGAAGTCCTCCCCCTCCTCAAGGCTGTTCTCCTTCCTCACCTCCACCCCCACAGCATTTGTCCACACCCCTAAGGTTTTCCGTGGGGCCCAGAGTCCTCCCTGGGGTCATCCCAACTGCCAGTGTCTGTACTCCTGCTGAGAGTCACATTTGTTCTCTGTGTGTTTTGGCTCCTCCCAAAGGACTTGGCATGGATGAAAATATCAGTCCCTGGGGCTTTTCTCCCAGAAACCCTCAATTCAAGTCTGCAGCAGAGCTGAAGGCCTGCACCTCTTTCCTTTTATTCTTTGGGCTGGCTTCTGTTATTCTATTTTCAATCTCAGGCATCTAGAAAAGGAAGTAAGAGGAATGGTTAAGGAGGAAGAGAGGCAGGGGACCGATACAGCATCTCTGTGGTATTGTGTGTGTGTACATTTGTGCACACTGAGTGCACACTAGTGCACACGCAAGAGCACATCAAAGGCTCCGCTACATTCTGCCATGTGAAAAACCTCCCCATTCCCAGCTTTGCTTGTTCTTGAGGCCAGGTAACCCCTAAGGAGAGAGGGCCACTTCCTGTGACCCCAGAAGCCACGTCCTTAGGCTTTGAGGCCATTGCTCTTGTGGATGGCCTCTCTAAGATGCAGAAACAGAAGGCGCCCAGCAGGAGCGCACGTGTGTTCATCACTGGTCCCCAGCGAGGCTTGTCTCAGGGGCAGGAGGGGAGTTTCCTCTCGATCTTGTGCTGGCCTGTGTGCCTCACTCACGCTTCTCAGATGTCCCCTGTGCAGGGAGGCTCACAACACTCCCACCTCCACCCAGCCCACCCCTCCCAACGACACCCCCACCTCCACCCAGCCCACCCCTCCCAACGACCCCTACCAAGGAGGCCCTGAGCAGGCCACGTGTCAGGTGCTGGAAAGCTGGTTCCCTAACACATTTGCATTCCCTCTCTCCTCCTAGATGAGAATGCCAACCTGGGCACGGTGATGCGGTACGAGGAGATTGGTGAGTGGCACCATTAAGTGGGGACATTGGATGCAAAGCGGGGGAGGGGAAAGGCTGGAGAACCCAGGGAGTGTTTGCAGCAGGGTTCTGCTCCCAGAAGAGGGGCGGTTCCCATGCTGGGATTGCAGTCTCCATGAGCTCTGCGTTAGCACCTCCAGGCTGAACTGGGGCCAGTTCCCGGGAGGTAGAGCTGGACCGCTTGGCAATTTGCCCTTCAGAGCCTCCCCTTCCTCATCTAAAAGCCGTGGAAGGGGAGCTTCAGAACCTTCTTTTGCACACAGACACAGGTGAGACAGAAGAGCCCCCTGCCTTCCTCGTCAGAGGCTTTCAGTGCTTGAAGGTAGAGGAGAAGATTGGGGACTGAAGACTCCCTGGCAGCCTTGGGCAGAGGCTGAGGCATTCCACTGTCTGTGAGGGCCGTGTGCCCAGCCCAATCCCACAGCAGGCCAGAGTGGGTGGAGGGCAGTTACACAGCTGTCGGGGCAGGTGGGGGGGGGCTGGTACCCATGTAAACAAGCTGAGAAACAAATTTAAATACTGAGATCTGTCCAGGATTACAGAATGGGTGAGAGGCACAAGCAGGAGACCCAAGTATCTGAAGCTGGGGAAGAGGTAGAGAGATACCAGAATGGAGCTGGGGCAGGGACAGGTGTCAGGTGACAAGGAAAGTCAGTGATAACAGGAATGCCTGGATCTCCAAGATGGGAGGCAGCCTGATATCCTGCAGACATGCTTAATGTTAAACTGAAAAGAAGCCAGGTGCGGTGGCTCATGCCTATAATTCCAGCACTTTGGGAGGCTGAGGCAGAAGGATTGCTTAGGTCCAGGAGTTCGAGACTAGCCTAAGCAATATAGTAAGAGCTCATCTCTAAAAAAAATCAAAAAATTAGTCTGGTATGATGGTGCATACCTGTAGTTCAGCTACTCAGGAGGTTGAGGCAGAAGGATCACCTAAGCCCAGAAGGTCAAGGTTATGGAGAGCTATGATCGTGCCGTCATACTCCAGCTTGGGCAACAGAGCAAAATCCCAACTCAAAAAATAAAAAAATGGGCCAGGTGCAGTGGCTCAGTCTGTAATCCCAGCACTTTGGGAGGCTGAGGTGAGAGGACTGCCTGAGCCCAAGGGTTCAAGACCAGCCTAGGCAACTTGGTGAGACCTCGTCTCTACAATAAATCAAAAAAGTAGCCAGGTATGGTGGTAAGCACCTGTAGTTCCAGCTACTTGGAAGACTGAAGGGGAAAGATTGCCTGAGCCCAGTAGGTCAAGGCTGCGGTGGCCGAAAGCATGCCACTGCCCTCCAGCCTGGGCGACAGAGTGACTCCGACTCAAAAAAATAAAAGATAAATAAATAAAAAATTTTTTTTAAATGAACTGAAATGATACTGCACACACCCCCTCTGTGCTCTTTTGTCTTTGGATCAGAGGTCAGGGATCCTGCCACCATCCTGAGGCAGGGAACTGTCCCAAGCACCTGGTTCTCCCAGCAGACCCAGCAGATGTGACATCACTCAAGGGGCTTCTCTGCCCTCATCCTCTGATCTGAGGTGCAGTGGTGTCCTGGAGTCAGCTCATCGGGTTTACTAGAACCATGTGTAAAATTTTCAGGAATTTTGTGAACCAGTCGTTGAATATAGCCATTACTAAACATTTAGCAATGTCAATTTACAGTTAAATCAATTGTATTAGAAACAAAGGTGATGAATGCTCAAAACTCCTGATTCCCTAGTTATCTAACTACCTATATTTACCAGCACCTCGCTGTCTGCAGGCCACAGAACTGGCTTCCTGGTTGTACCCCAAAACAAGCAGGAGCATTTGGTTCTGGGTTCTGCAACCCCAGAACACCCAACAAGTATGGCTGAAAGCCTAGATGCCAGGGCCGGACCTTCCCTGCAGACCTGGCCTGGCCATAGATTGCCTCCTTGGCCAGCAGAGCTCAGAGCAGTCTTGGGGTTTTAACTACATCCCAGTGTGCATTTCAGTCTCCTTGTTCCAGAGAATGTACCGCATGAAGCTTCAGCTAAGGCCTTGTTTGTCTCCCCAGCACCTGGAGCCAGTGTCTCAGGCCACCTCCACCCCAACTGGGGGAGCCCCCTTCTAAAGAGAGGGCACCCCTGCTCTGTGCCGAGCAGTGCACTGCAGTCTTCACTTCCATTCGTTCATGGCAGCCTTGTGGGGGGCAGGGGCAAGGGCAGGGCAGGGGTGGTCAGCTCCATCCTGTTTACCCTTCTGGCTCCATAGCAGTTTTGGTGAACAGGTCACTACAAGACCGAACATGGAGCCAAGGAGTGACCTCTTGCATCTGGCTTATCTGAGGTTCTGCCTGTCCACCTCTGTATCCCCTGGGCCCACCAGTGTCCAATGGGAAGGGACAGTGAGGGGTAGGGAATGGAGAACACTTGGGTTCAGAGAGAGGAGAGCTGGGTGGCCACAGCTGTCAGCCAGATTCATGGCCTGGCTTGATCCAGGTGGCAACTGCCTTGGGGAGCAGTGAAGCTGGGAAGCTGCAGGGCCTGGGTGTCACATAGCCAGGATTTCTGGGAGGGGAGTGTGGAGAGAGAGTGTGGATTCTGGCTCCAGGCCCTGGATCTGGGTGACTGGGAAGGAGGCCAGCCTGGAGGAGGTAGAGGGAGCTACCCTGCCTCCCTGCCCTTGCTCTCTGTGAGGCCCTGGGGCTCATGTGTCCCTCTTTTTGAAATTTCCTTGCACACTAAACGAAAAGGAAAAGCCATTTTCTCCTTGCTCTGTTGTCATCTGTTGACCCCGTTTACATGTTCTTAACAGCTGACTACTCCCGGCTTCCAGGCTGCCCCAGGCCAGGGACTGGTGGGCTGGAGACTCACGTTAGTCTCATGCAGGGAACTGGGAGAAATCACTGCTGCCCTCCAGCGGTCACACATGGGATTTCATGTTGTGCTAGGGTCGGGGGTCTGTGATGAATACACACCCTGTGTTGGCCTGCAAGAAAAGGTGACAGAGAACCCCCCTCTAACTTTCTGTGCTTTGACTTTAAAAAGTTCCATACTGGCTGGGCATGATGGCTCACACCTGTAATCCCAGCCCTTTGGAAAGCCGAGGTGAGAGGATTGCTTGAGCCCAGAAGTTTGAGACCAGCCTGGGCAGCATAGCAAGACCTCATCTCTACAAAAAAAAAAAAAAAAAAAAAGAAATTAGCTGGGTGTGGTGGCATATGCTTGCAGTCCCAGCTACTCAGGAGGCTGAGGTGGGAGGACCTCCTGAGCCTAAGAGGTCAAAGCTGCAGTGAGCCATGATCATGTCACTTCACTCCAGCCTGGACAACAGAGTGAGACTCCAACTCAAAAAAAATTAAAGCCCCATATTATACTCGATAATATGAATCCCTGGCTTGAGGCTTAAAAAGAGATTCATTTCCATGGTTGTAAACAAGGTTTCTCAACCTTGGCACTTCTGACATTTGGGAACAGATAATTCTGTGTTGTAGGGGACTGTCCTGTGCCTTGTAGAATGTTTAGCAGTATCCCTGGCCTCTACCTACTGGGTGCCACTAGCATACCACCCACCCCTTCAGTCATGACAACCAAAAATATCTCCAGACGTTGTCCAATATCGCTTGGCTATTGCAAAATTGCCTCTAGTTGAGAAACATGAATGTAGAGAAAGCTGAGAGCTCGTGGACACCAGCACTGAATGGAACTTTCGGACAACCAGAGCTCCAGGGATCCGGAAACAACAGAATCCCAGGGATAAGTGCAGTCTGGCTCCTCTCAGCCATATGAAGCCTGGCTTATCTCTGCAGTTGGGCGTTGGGTCAGCAATCATATGGTGTAACATGGAGTGGCCAGGTGCACTGACTCAGACAAGCATTTCCTTCAGGGTCCCCGTCTTGCAAGTTCAGTTGCTATGATGGCCATCACAGCAATCCAGACAGTCCAGAAGGCTGCAGGCAGCCTGCGGGGCTCCGTTGCCCACCCTTCTGTTGGCTCACCCATTCAATATAACATGTCAGATCACTTACTGTGTGCCACTCACTCTGCCAGACCCTAGGACTACAAAGATTGATGAAGATCCCTTCGCATGAACAGGTCATTAGACTTCAGCCTCCTCTAGAGAGGAGAGAAGAGAGGATGCAGGGATATTTAGTAGTTAAGATCCCAGCCCTAGCAGGGCGCAATGGCTCACACCTGTAATCCTAGCACTTTGGGAGGCAGAGGCGAGAGAATTACTTGAGCCCACAGGTTCAAAACCAACCTTGGCAACATGGCGAGACCTCATCTCTACAATAAATCAAAAAATTAACCAGGCATGGTGGCACGTGCCTGTAGTTCCAGCTACTTGGAAGGCTGAGGTGAAAGGATTGCCTGAACCCAGCAGGT